ACCACACAATGTACTTAAAATAAATGAATAAAGGACCAACCATAGCAGGGATGGTTTGCTCTGCATCATGGATCACAGGGGCTATATGGCTACAATGGCCCTGAGACTGCCACACTTCTAGGCCTCCACACCAGGACTGGTGAGACTCCCTTCCATGTTGCAACACCAGTCCATCATACACGTCCAGATCCTGTGGCGCCACCAGTCTCCTCATCTCAGACAACATGGACAACTGGCAGAAAGAAGAAGACAAAACAAAAAGAATTAAGATATGATTATAGTACAGTGAAGAAAGGATTATACAGATATGGAGTCAGGTGCTGTGTAGCGATGTACCTTTGCATGTGTATTGAAAAGCTCAAACAGAGCCATGGTCAGAGACTCTACTCCTATATGTCCTTCTTGGTACTCCTGCAGGTAGTAGGCCATGGTTTGCCTCTCTGGATCTGTCAGCAACATGTAGGCCTGCTGCTCCAGTGACACCTGAGCACTGGGGGGGCCCACACCTCTGTATCCTGCTGGCTGGATGGAGCAATAGTTTGACAAGTGAAAAATGATGGAATCAAATATAGGAGAGATGAAATTATACAAGCTCAGTTGTATTTGTTCTATTTGGCTTTATTCTGCAGTTTGTTTGTCTTTAATTTAAGACAGGTTTCATGTTCATTTAACCACTTTTGCAGTAAAATACTTTTATGATTCATAAATGAGTGAAACAAAAGACCTTAGACAATATGAAAAACATTGTTGTGATCTTTCTACTTCTGGCTGGGACATCTTGAAATTTTGGTAGCATTTCCAGTGTGCCGCTTTCCTCGTTTGGATGGAGAAATAGGATGTATGCGTACGCAATGCTTCAGTGAAGCAGTGTACAATTTCAGGTAGACCGTGTTTACAATAGGCAGTAATGCATAGCTGCCATTCTTACCTTTCCTAATACAGGTGTAGCTCTGGCTGAAGATGGTCTGCAAGAAAGAAAACAACAAACAAAAACAATGCTTAGCATATTTAAAAAGTAAACACACAAATGATTAGTGATGCTTATAATTGGACTGAGACCAACATAGTCAACTTGTTAAAAACCACAACATCAACAACATCATCATGAAGTGACGAGCTGAGAGTCTCCGTAATCTTCTTCTTACCGTGACTGTGCACTTCCTCATGTGTTTCCCATGAAGAATTATAGTGAGAGCTCAGGTTGGTTTGTGGTTTGGGTTACATGCACTTCCATAATGTTAACCACATATTAACTAAAAA